GTGAAGCAGTACAACGTCTCAAGTGTTGATTGATAGCCATCTCGACTAATGGTTGGCTCCTGGATTCACTGACTTCACCCCACCCCTTGTCTGTCTTCTTGTTAGAGTGCAAAAGATGGGTCTCCTGCTACTTCAGACAAAAGTGTGAGTCCTCTTATTATGATGTTGCTCTCCCCCATCATGAATCCTCTCTCTAACAAAACAGTTGTACATTACACAGCAGAAGGAGAAGAAGAAACAGGCAAGAAAGGCAAAAGCTTCAGACAAAAGTGTGAGTGCTCATGTATGTTGCTCTCCCCCCCATCAGAATCACTCTCTAACAAAAACAGTTTTACATTACACAGGAGGAGGAGGAGGAGAAACAGACAGAAAAAAAAAGGCAAATGGCAAACAAAAGACCAAGAATGTAGTCTTCCTTTCATTTCCTCAATTACCCGAAAATAATATTTACCCTCTTTGTTTTGTGCCAACATACACGCCTTCTCTCTCTATGCTTTTCTATTCCAGAAAGCCTCAGTTCAGATAACCCGAGCAAAAAATTAGCTACCAAAGAAATCAAAGTAAGTCAAAAATGTGATACTGTTCCAGCATGATAAGATGATTTAGCTAAGAATCTTTTTGTGTTGTGCTATGCTTTCACCCTTCTCAGAAAAACGAAGAAACCCAGGTGGAGGTAATGACACAGCAAGCAGAGAAAAAGGCAGGAGTCTACTCTCGTCCCCTCACTATGTTCTTTGCTACAGGTTCATTCCAGGGCGCAGCAGAGTCGATGGAGGAGGATTTGTCGGTTGCTAGATGTAGAGATTGAAGCACGAGTTCGGTTTGAAAGAGAGTTTGTTAGCTTTGGGTACTACCGACATGATGATGATCACGTCGGCATTGAATCCCTAGTGAGCTTACACAGCACGTCAGCATACAGAGGACCTCACCTTCAACTCCCTTGGATTACATTCAAGAAACTCAGTGAGGTCAGCAAGCGTCCCACAAAGAACAAAGATTGCGGTGTAGGAGATGTTGCAAGTATGAACAGGGAGGGGAGCATCGAGTAATTAAATCTCTCCTAAGTTGGAAAAGAGACCATTTCAAGAGGGTGATGCAGCTAGTAAGAGTTTGGAACTTTGCATGTTCCCATTTGATGACCTTTTTGATGACACACAAACTGTGGCCGACCTTGAAGCGGAGGCAAGCGACATTTCAAAAAAGTGCCGTCCTTGATTCGAAAGCACGTTCGAGCTCTTCCAGGTCTTTGATACTACAGCCCCCCCCCCCTTCAAAAACCTTCTTTTAATTGTGAACATGAAGCCCTCTGTTTTTCCCATCCCCCGGCCATCTCCATTCTACCCCAAAGCCCTAGAAACACGTATTTACCACACTATTGACCCTTAATATTACCCAACCTACGATTTTTTCCACAAATAGTAGTAAATTCCCGTAGAATCCTCTTTTTTATCCCCCAACCCCCTAAACTGCTCTCTTTTTGCAACGGTTTTATAGATGTGTGAATAAAGCACGACTCTCTTGGGCAGTTATTCATTCCCAGTTCCTTGTGGAGTTGAACCTGACAGGAGTTCTTCGAAGTCAACAGGGCCACGTCATCACTGTGACTCGTGCTTTTGAAAAATGCTGGTGTTGGTGGGACTGAGTCGATCTTAATCGATAGGTTCGAATTCGATTTGAATTAGAGTGTGGGTTAATGTATTCTCGACATCATAATGGGGTCTCGTTTTAGAGTCTGGGTTAATGAGACAGTTAATGGGGGTTCTCGTTTTGCAGAGAGAAGTTAGGGCTTAGGTCCAAAGTGTGCCATGGCATTAAATGTAATGATGTCATCGCAGCCTTGAGATTTAAAAAGAGACTGGCTATTATTTGCTGCTAGTTTCGTCACGCCTGCCTGGTATCCATCTCTAAGTAATTGTCAAGCTGCAAACGATAATTGCTCCAGAAAATCCTTCTGCCAAACAATGAATCGACTCTGCGAGCCATTCTGTGCAGTTTTCAGGTGCTTTTGGCAGAAAAAAAATCATCTGCCAGAGACAACACCCTCCTGGCAGAAAAAAACACCTCCCGGCAAAAAAACACCTCCCGGCAGAAAAAGCCATGCCGGCTTTCGGAACTCAGAGTTCGAGGGCTTCTGCAGATGCACGCAGCCTGCTTCAGGAAAAAAGTGTTTCTCGGACTCAAAAAGGCGTTTCTGCAGAGTTTTTCATTCCAGTGATGAGGTTGAGCAATCAAGGTTCCGGATGCTCCTGTATCCAGTAAGCAACGAGTGTAACGGTTTGGTTTCCTTTTTCTCGTTGTTAAATTTAACATAGACGATGGGTTTGAGGTCTTGTCTTGCGACGTTTACGAGTGGTTGGCACGGACGAGTTAACGATGTAAATAGATCATAGAGTCTAGTTGAGCAGTTCTAGGCAATCATCTAATTTGCCGTAGTGTTCATCAGTTGCAACAATTCTGTTTACTAGTTAGTGAGATATCTTCATCACTTTGGTATGAGAAATCGGAACATGGTTCCGTTGAGTCACATCCTGCCTAATCCTCAGAAGAGATTTCTCCATCCAAGTGATTGAATTGATAGAGGAGTTGTTCATTGTCAGAGTCTTCTGATTTGCGCTTGGCAACATGGTTGCGAAGTTTGCAAGTGTTGCACGAGTATCGTCGATCTCGTTTTCTTCGTCATTGTCGACGAGAGGAAGAATGGGTTTGTCACGCAACTGTTTCTCGAAGCTGCGGAACGCATGCTTTCCTTGAGCCATCTTCATGGTGAAGGAATAGGTTGAGGGTAGCTGAAAGCTATTGTGTTTGTTAACAAAATGCACTACGCTAAAAGCTAGTGTAAAGATCTTTCAAGTGTTTTGAGTTTGAGAGAATGAAAGTTATGAGAGAGATTAGAAAGCTATGAAAACTAATCAGCGAGAGAGATCATCATCAAGGGATCGTAGATCTGGCTTCCCGCGGGAGACTATAAAGTGTGATAGAGTAGGTTGCGGTAGTAATCCTACGTCTCTCCACGATCCTAAAACGGAACGCGTGGAAGGTTTGTCTAGCCTGGATCTAGTAGCGTGGAAGTACTCCACGCTGGCTAAATATCTAGAGCGATGTTTCATCATCAACCTAGCATGACTAGCGCGGTCATTGAGAACCCTGTCTCAAATGACTATTCACGAGAGACTCAGTCATGAGTCGAACTCAAACCCTATCTAGGATCGAGTCGCGAATAAGGCTAAGAGCCGTGTATTGCAGAAGCTAAGATTCTTTGCCATGAACATTTCCGTCGGTTCGCTCCAGTCTGGTGGGGCCTCTTGCAGTTGTTGCATTATCTCAGACGGGCTCATTGGGTTGGAATAAACGTGACAATCAGCTTCGTTGCTCTCATTGATTCCAAACGCAATGGTGCTGTCACCTTCCAAATGTGGCAGCAGAACAGTTTCAATCTCCTCTGTATATTCAACAGCGTCATCACCAAGCACTGTTTGCGTCGTCCTTGGAGCAGCAACCACTGAAGTGACACCAAATGAAATCATTCGCCTTGTGTTTGTGTTTGGTGTTGCTAATCTGTTGTTTGGATTTGGTCGCTTGGAAGCCGCTGTGCCTGGAATGTTCTCTTGGTCTGAATTGATCGAATCAGCGTCTCCGTGATCAATAAACGGTGAGTCTACGTTTGTTGGATTATACGTCTGGTTCCATGAAGCAATTACTCTCTTCAGATCTGACACCTTTCGATTTGTTCGGAGTCCTTTCCGTATGAAGTGAATGGGAGACTTCTTATGGATGAATCATTTCAGTCTATTGCCACTTCCAACGTTGTCGCCGAAGACCGGAACCTTTGGATCTGGGAACGATACAGTCGGATGCTGTTCGGCTGCTCTAGATTTGTTCCTGATTACAAAAAGCAACGTCCTGGGATAGTTAAAGATAGTGAGATGTGCTTTCAGGTATGTGACTTTATTGCATTTGAAGCGTTTGTTCAACTCAGCAATGGAGCTGTCGCCACAAAGATTACATATAGTCTCTCCAGTAGATGTTGCTTCTTCCGACACAATGCCCGTAGCTAGTAACATGTTGTAGCAAGTTGCATATTCGAGGTCTAGCACCTTACAAAGGCTATTGTTAGCTTCGGCAAGATCCGGTGCTGTGGGTAGCACAAACCAACGCTTGCCTACGAGCCGACCAAAGAGTTGTTCTAGCAGCGAAAAGGTTGCATTTGCCACTACTTCATCTGCAGCTAAATCATTTTCGGACATCATTGTTGACTAATATTAGAAGACTATAATTGTAGTGCGTGATGCCATCAATAGCAAGGGCAATGCACGAGTGATGCTAAGGAATGAAAGAGACAGCACGGAGGCTCATTCAATGATTGGCTCCAGAGAGTCGGCAACAGATTGCTCTGCAAATCGGAGAGCTTCTCCAAACAGCCGTGCTTCGAGACCGTATGGGATACGGAATGTCATCGAGATGATGCCCTCTTCTTCCAATGACTCAAGGCAAATTTTCAGCGCTTGATTGCCACCGGAAGCACTGACAACTTTTTTGGCTTGGTTCATTTTCCAACGAGTGTTGACCGGGAGGCAGAAGCACATACATGGCGCATTGTTGGCAGTACCGTAGACCATAAGACGGAAGAGATTGCTCGACTCATAACATTGGAGGCTCATTGGACCAGCAATCCGATGTGTTTTTTCACCCAACACTCCGTTCGTATCCCATGGGACGGTATAATCAAGCGTAGCTGCAGTTTCACCAGCAGCCTCTCCTTGGAGAGTAACGAGCGAGTGCCACCCATTTACCATTGTTGGAGTAGATTATGAGATTGTGGGTTGGAGTAGATTGTGAGATTGTGGGCATTGGATCCTCTGATGAGAGAAGAGTTGGAATGCGCGGCAAATTCAAATTCAAAGAACATTCCGTCGTTTTTGTGAGAAGCGGCCTTTAAAATCTCTTTAACAACAGCACAATTTGAGGACACAATCGAAGTAACTCACAGACTGCAAGCAATCATGTCGCATTACTCTTCTAGTTGCATGCACATCACCATCTCCCATGGCACAACAAACGGTGCCAAGTTGGAAACTCTCTCTGAGCGTGACATTGGAAAGCTCTACACTGCGATTGAAAAGGGAATCGAACTAGGATTGGACAAGGATACCAAGATGGATGTGGCGTTCTGCAGCAATGTTCATTTTCCAGATGAAAAGGTTTTGGATGTTGTCACTTTCCTTGAGAAGCACGAAAGTGTGCTCAGCGTGGTGGAAGCAGCTCATGATCTAATCATTTTCAAGACAACGACGGAGCTTGTTGTCACCATCCGTTTCCATGGAAGCAAGAAGTAAACCATCAAGCTAGCTATCAAGCCAACCATGAAGCCAACCCCCGCTCTATCCACCCACAAATATGCCGAGGATGAGATGTGGTTCCAGCAACCTTCGGCCGGTCGTGGTCACCGTGTCCGCGGCAAGAATCCCCGCCCAGCCGTCGATGAGGATGATTCGTCTTTCGAGGTCGATGTGGAGCTCTCTCAAGCTCTCTCTGCATTGGGTCACGCCACGCCTCGCAAGTAGAAGACCCCATTGTGTTGTTGTTGATGGCGCTTTTCGTCATCTTTGGTTGCCATCGTCTTCTTTTATCTCTGTAGCAGAAATCGATTTGAGTTCGTATTCCGTCGATGGCATTGAAGGATTTAACATAATATTTTATTAGCTTAAAGTCAAAACTTGTTAGCTCGGCCTACTTTCCGAATTTTCGTTCCTATTTACTTGAATACCGTATCTTAAATCTCTCGAAACGGTTCGGATCGCTAGGACGGGGGGGGGTATTTTTCCAACCAACAGCAAAGGTACTAGCTATGATGTAGTAGTTTTGAGCTCCAAATCTGTGAATTGAAACCGAGTTTAGTCTTAATTAAAACCAGGGACTGAAGCCCAGTGTAGGCTTCGCGGCAAGAAGACTGCCGTGCTTGCTCGAAAAAGACCCAAAGATATGCCAGAGAAATCCAGAGAGCGAAACAGAAGAAAAAGTAGCAAGAGACAACCACACCACCAACAACAACAAAACGCAGAAAACAAAGCCAAACAAATCAACCATCCACCATGCCTAATACTATTTGGGATTCCAAGGGCGAATATGACCCCAAACAATTTGAGGTGAAGTCTGATCCGACGGTAGGCAAGATGGAATCGGCGGCAGAAAAAGCGGCGCGACAAGCAGAGGAAATGAAGAAGGCAACGGAAATGGCTCTGGCCGCCATGAGCACTAACCAAAAGAAGTCAGCTGAGGCAGTGGAAGCAGGCACTGAAACTCTCAATAGCGTCAAGGGATACCAGGACAGTATCAAGAAATAAAACTCCTGCAGTACGGTACAGCGAGAGACGCTCGAGGCCAGAAAATCAATCCAGACAATCTTGGTGTCAAAGGAGTTCGCTGATGATTGTGTTGCAGGATTTAACACCCTACTAGAGAAGACGTTTTGAGATTTATGACTCGGTCATTGGTAACCCCTCCAATGTACCATCGATCTTAAAAATAGCACAACCATACGGTAGACTCTCACCATAATATCGTACCGTATGGTACCGTAGGAAGTAGGTACCGTATCCCTGTCGGTACCTCACTCCAGCAAGCTTCGAGGGTGTTGCTTTTTCTGCCCCTTACGAGGAGTGAGCTTGTGCGGTACCATGTCGGTTTCCCTGTTTTTGGTACCAGGTACCACCTCTACTGTATCTCGTCTGCATCATTCTTGTACCAGAATCCTCGATGGACAAGCGCTGCTAAGAAGTGTGGGTTTGTCAAGTCTTCGGGTCCCCGTGGTTTGTTGTCATCCAAGGCAAACCAGGAGGATTGGACAATGAAGGAATAGCTCGGAGAGCGAAGTATTCAGGAATGACTGCACGACTGTCGCCCAATGATACCAGTTTACCAGTAGAGTCGGCAAAAATGGTTTGTTTCCGCTCACACAGTTGCGGTGCTAGCAGGTGCTAGCTAGCAATCCAGCTGATTCCACATACATGTTGGGCATGCTTTTTGAGAGCGTTGGTGGGCCGAACTACATGCCCAGCCGCCAGAAAACTGGCAGGGAAATACCAAGAGCCAACAGGTTGTGGCGACAGACTAGTCCAGTACATACATGTACCTCTGCATCGGTCTGGTACTGTACCAGTACGTGACTGTACCACCAGGGATCTATTAAGCCAGCTAGGTCACTCTTACATCAGTTTAGGAGAATCTGCACACGGTTCAAGGTACGGTAGTATCTGCATCAAATAAGTTTGGTTGAGCCAACATTGCAATAGGATTTGTCTGAGACAGGTTGTGACATGGTCCAGAATGGCTTGGCAGTTTGACCTCCACAAGACGCCTCCAAGCCTCCTCTACTTGATCTGGTTTCCCTGGCAAATCCGCCTGGCCTAATCTGGCTGGTTCATTTCCACAGATCGGCCGCTTCTTGCCTTCTCTTGGCCCTCTGCTGGCTTTGATACACTCTCCTCGGCAGCTGTGGCGACAGCCAAGCCAATTCGATGTTTTGTAGAGTTTCCTGCCAACAATATGATACTTTCATTGGAGGAGGCAGGCAGGCAGGCAGGCAGTTTGCGCAACGCGGTCAGCATCACAACTCCAACCGAAACGCGGCACGAAGGAATTTTGATAGGATGCCTCGGATTCGTAACCGTGAAGCTTCAATTTGGATTGTCCCAGTGGTCGCAGTGCCTGCTGTTGGGGAATGGATATCTTCACTCTTGGCTACTGCTTCACGCTTCACCAGAAACACCTGTCCGGAGAGCTCCAAACTGCCCTGGAAGGTTTGGGTCGCCCTGGCCACGCAGAATGGGTACCAGTCAGCTACATACCGTACTAGCTAGCTAGTATGTGAACAGGTACAGTAACGTCAAGTAACCTCACTTTTCGGTTCTTTTGATTTGATCTGAACTCCAATCTACGTGTGCTGTTCGTGGCAATAGTTCTGTATACTTCTGCATTCAGATGGTCAGACTGTACACTTCAACCTGATCAGCAGCCCTCGGCAATAGGTCCAGGCTTCAGTGCGGAAGCAAGCAGCTGCTCTTCACTCTCTAGCTAGCTAGCTGGGGGCTCTCTTCAGTTTCGGAGGGACCCTCCGCATGGTACGCACGTACATTCCCATGAACTGGCACGTAGAAGAGCCCTTGGTTGACGTGCATTTTTTTGTTTGTACACTTTTGTACCGCAGTCAACGCGTTCTCTGAGAATGGTAGAACTGCAAGGTAGCTTATGATTGGAGGAGCAACTGACACATCACTCTCCTCCATCTTCAACAGCCCCATTAGATACTGCCCTGAGAACACACTAATGATGCAGCATACTAGCTAGTAATCTCTAATGCTTGGTACGGTACCGTACCGGTACGACTGTATGCATATGCATAGATCTAACTGGACCTCTGTGGAAACGTCATTCGTGGCAAAATACTTAAGAGACGATACACCGAGGAATAGGAGACGATCGAAATGATTTAAGAGACGAAAGCAATCGTCTCCTATATTTAGGAGACGATTCAGTAGGAGACATTCCAATTAGGAGACCAAAATTTCGAAATAGGAGACGATCTGAAAGATTTAGGAGACGATACCATACAGTTTACATGGGACACTTAGGAGACGATCCGTTGAGAATAGGAGACGATCCGTTGAAAATAGGAGACGTTTTAAAAGAGGAGACAAAAGATTTAAGAGACGATCCGTTTCGTCTCCTATTTTTAGGAGACGAAATCCATGAAATAGGAGACGATCAAAAGGATTTTTAAAGAGACGAAAAGTAGCACGACTCGAGTTTCCACAGAGGTCCTGGACCGTACGCGTATCCATTCCAATTCCAATACCTTTTCCTTGAAGTTGCCTTAGAACGATTTAACAGTAGCCCTCAAAGGACATTAGTGTTAAGAGAGAATGCCAGCTTCGTAGTACGAGCTCTAGTATGTCACAGGGTATCATCTAAACCTTTTTAATCAATTGTTGAACTGCCCCAATCCCCCGAACACCGAGGAATCTCTTCTCCGGCTGTCATCCAATAATCAATGGAGAGCTCAAGAAGCTATTGCCGCCACCTCAGCGTACTTTGGCTATGCAAGGCAGCATCGACATGACAGAGCCAAGATACTCACGTTGCTGTGCATGGGCGGTGCAAACTTTTTAGAGTGCCTCGCACATTCAACACGCTTACTTCACTGTTTGCGGTCACCTAGCTAGCTGTTGACCGCAACAAACCAAGTTGAGTGGCAATAAGGTAAAGAGAGCAGAGATCGAGTGCCCCACAGCACCAAACTTACTTTGGTCGCTCGGCACCTTTGCTTTCATTATCTTCTGAAAGCTGAAAGCTGAAAGCATGAAGCAACAACAACAACAGCAGCAACCTCTTCCTATCGAGACCACTGCCAGTTCGTCCATCTCCCTTGACGGTGACGAGAACGATGAAGTGAGATTGATTGACGTCCACAAAGTGGAGCGCATGTTCCCGGTAGCCACTGCCCTCTCTTGTTCCGTATGGCTGTTTCTGGTCCTCTTGGTGTATTCGCTAGTCCCTCCCGAGGAGTATGTCTACTTGGAAGGAGCCGAACGAGAAGCAGCCGCAGCAGCCTGCTATATCTTTTTTGTGAGCACGACCTTGACGGTCGCCCCCTTGCTAATTCGTGGCGGTTCAAGGAAGGAATTGTCGGGTATAGTATGTTCGGGTGTCGTCGTTCAGTTGGTGGCCATGACGACAAATGGCTTGCTGGCATGGGCTCCTACCGTGGTGGTAGTGGACCCAGTCACTCATGCTCGAGTCTACCTGGTGCGATGGTGTGAATGGATCCCCTTGGCGGGGCTGATGACCTTCTTATCCGAGATTGTTGACTGTCAACAAGGACTCTACGGTGTCTTGCTCCCAGGTATGTGGTATCTTGCACTCTTACTGCCGCGTCAGGTTCCCTAATGCTAATATACCCACGTTTCTTCCTTTGCAGTAATGGTGGGTCTGGGCCAGTCACTGAGCTGTCTCATGGCCATTATCTTCCCCTTTTGCCCCTCGACAGCATCCTGGTGCCTGTCTGTGTTCCTCTCGGTGTCATTGTTCTTGACCATCTTTCCCCGACTGCATTACAAGTACAAGCTCTACAAGGACTCCAAACAAGGCCTGACACAGAGCGAAATGGAACGATCTTGCCGGATTACATTTGGCTTTCATTTGCTCTTGGCGTGCTCGATTGTCTGGACGGCCTTGGTCGTTTTCTACGTTGCCACTATCATCGCCTTTCGCTTCTATCCGGACTCGTACTTTGTCCAGAATCAGGCGCTCCCCATGCTCTTGGATACCTTCTTTGATGTCCTCGCCAAGGCAATGTACATGAAGGTCATTGTAGACGTTCACGAGAACGTCTTTGATGCTGATGGTCGGGCGAGGCGACAGTTGTCCGAGTTGAAACGAATGATCACGGTCCTGTGGGAAAGCAGCTCTGATGTCATTGTCATCTCGGTGCGCCAGGGGTCTACCTTCTCCACCATGATCAGTCCCACCTTTCCCAGCATGTTGGGGGCGTGCGTGTCACTTGACAACAATGGTGATTGTGAGGGCGCGGCTCTCCTGGTGAAGTCGCAACAGATACCCGTTTGCGGTGGCCATAAGGACTTTAATAACAACAACCAGCCCATGAAGGACAGCAGTGACAAAAGCGCCACAGAGGAGAGGAAATTGCGGCTCAAATCAGCATCATATTTCGTCGACGCGTCCGAGATTCCATACAGCGCTGGAGACAGCAAGCATCATAATAGGAGCGTATACTTGCCCAATGTCCAGATGGACGACAAACTCAACGAACAAGCAGGCAATGTCGTCATGGCGGCATGGGACAAGGTATTGAGCAGCAAGCGGCGCAGTAGCTGGGACATTGATGCTTCCGTCAACTCGACTGGCAACAGCAGCATCAAGAGGGAGTCTCTCGTCGTGCTGGACTTGAAAAAGATGGATGGGAGCTTGCTCAAGAGTGAAATAAAGGTTTCACGTCCTTCGGGTGATGCGGTGATTGCCATTGTTCGAGATGTGACCGAACGCTACCTCAGATTCGATGCCGAACGAAAGGTCCACACTGAAGCACTGGCACGACAACGGGATGCTCAGGCGGTAAACAATTTCACCAGGCACGAGGTCAAAAATGGTCTCTTGGCAGGCATCGAACTCTGTACGGATGTGTCCAAGCGAGTCGACTTGCTCAAGAGAAGTGCCACTGTCCCCGTCGAACGGATTGACGAATATGATACCTCCAAATGTCTTGGCGAGCTCGATTCTTGTCTCCATGAAATCTTAGAAACTGTTTTGGCAGAGGCCATGGCACGAGAAGTGGTTCACGAATCCTACCAGCCGAAACTGGACAGAGTTGACATTTTCGATGCTCTTTCCCAGCAGAGTTCTGGCATGATTGACGAGGCCGGTCGAAGAGATCGGTTTCCATTGCATGTTTGCCCTGCCAACATGCCATTTTTGTCAATGGATCCACAGCTTCTCAATTACATTCATCGTAACGCGGGTAAGTCAAGGAAATGTGTGTCGCGACCGTCATGATGGCAGCACGCAGCTCACATATTGCTTTTACATGCATCCACCAGTATCCAATGCCTGTAAATACGGCAAAGAGGGCGGCAAGGTCGTTACTGAAGTGCATTTCTTCGAGAAAAAGGGAGAGTTCGAAATGGATGTGATCAATGAGCCAGGTCCTTTCCATGAGGAGCTGATGAGGATGGGTAATAAGGCCTGCGATGTTGTCTTTGCACAGGGGGCACGTCTCGAGTTGCACAGGAGAAGCGATGACGAGGCAATGAAGCAAAGAAGCTCGGGAGATGGGGGTTGGATCAGTCAAAAGTGCGCCAAGACGATGGGAGGGGGATGCACAATTCGGTTTGACCCGCATCAGACTGTCTTCTCCTTCCGTTGTAAGGTCGAGCCTTACAAGTTGCCATGGAGAGCCAACGAGGAGTTCCAGGTTTCGCCTGGTACATGGGGCTTGGCCCTAGATGACAGTGCCATCCAACGCAAGATGATGACTCGTATCATGAAGTTTGCAGGTGTGGAAGAGTCCAAGATTGTCGTCAAGGGCAAGTCTGCAAGTGACATCAAAGACTTGGACAAACTCATGTTGAATTTGCTCTCCCATGACACTACCAGCAAAGTCCTGATTCTAATGGACGAGAACTTGGACTATCGATGTGATGGTGTGTCGCAGCGTTTGAGTGGATCCAAGTACTCGGAACGAGCTTTGAAGAAACTGACGCCAGAGCAGGCGTCACGGACACTTGTGTTGGTTCGGTCAGCGAATGATTCGGACGAGGACATTGCCACGTACAACAAGCGTACCCATGGATTCTTCCCCAAGACTGCCATGAACAAAGAGAAGGTTAGAGAGCGATTGGCACCGGCCTGGTATGAAAGATTCTCAAAGGAGCGGCCACCTTACGATGCCGCGACAGATGATTCCTCCGTTGCCTTTTCCGACATTGGAGACGGTTGTGGATTGACAGTGCAGTCTTCGGATGGTTCGTCCACCGTTGCCGACCTGATGAGATCAATCCGAAAGGCGGACGAGGTTGTTGGCCAGGAACTCAACAAAGACTGGGACGCAATCTGGAGTGCATTGCATGGCTTGAAGGGCGACTTGATGATACTCGATGACAACAAGGTGATTGAGGAATGCATCGAAAGTATCTCGGCACTGCGTGGTGTTGTCCAACCGCCGGGTTTTGAAGATGCATGGGCAAGGATACGTGACCGGGTCGTCGAGGAGATTGAGTGAACATCCACTATTGGACTGTACATATATTTAACTCATGCTGTTGGCTATAATAAATATGCATGAACTTCAACCTTTTGTAAGTGGCCTTGCTACTTGTTTAAGATAGGAGATTACTTGTTACGGAAACTTTCGTCTCGTCAGCGCCACCATTGCCTGTGTGATTTTGCGCAGTTGATGTGCCTCCATGATGAAGGGTGGCATGGTGTAGAGTAGTTTGCCAAAGGGTCGAAGCCATATTCCTTGATCGACTACTTTGGGTTGCATGACTCTCATATCAAAGGGTTCCTTCATTTCGACGACACCAATTGCTCCCAACACGCGGACATCCTGCACCAGTGGAGATTCTCGACAGGGCTCGAGTTCTGTTTGTAGTTGCTGTTCTATGGCGTGTACCTTTTGTTTCCAATTGTAGTTTTGGTCATCGAGGAGTAGATTGAGACTGGCTAAACTGACGGCACATGCCAATGGATTGCCCATAAAGGTCGGACCATGCATGAAGACGCCGGCTTCTCCTTGGGCAAAGACTTGTGATATTTTGGTGGTGGTCATAGTGGCCGCAAAGGACAAGAATCCACCCGACAATGCCTTGCCCAGACAGAGAATATCGGGCTGAATGTTGGCGTGTTCGGACGCAAACAAGGTTCCGGTCCTACCAAATCCGGTGGCGATTTCATCGAGAATCAACAGTACATTGTACTCGTCACACAACTCTCGTACGCGTCGTAGATAGTTTGGGTGATAAAAGTGCATGCCTCCGGCTCCCTGGACAATGGGTTCGAGAATGACAGCGGCAATTTCGTCTTGATGTTGTTCCAGCGTTTGCTTGAACTGGTCCAAATCACTCTCGTCCCAGTCATCGCTGTAGTATCCAACTTGTGGTCGCGGTACAAATATTTGACTGGCGAGCACGGACGAAAACAAGTGATGCATCCCATTGACGGGATCACAAACACTCATGGCTTTGAAGGTATCTCCATGATACCCCCCACGAACGGTCAAGAATCGATGTTTCCTGTTGTCGCCACCACCCAAATTATGCCAGTACTGCAATGCCATTTTCATGGCAACTTCAATGGAGACGGACCCCGAGTCGCAGTAAAAGACATGCTGCAATTGGGAAGGTGTCACTTGGACCAATTTTTGGGCCAATTGAACGGCCGGTTCGTGGGTGAGACCACCAAACATGACGTGGGACATGCGTTCCATTTGTTGCGTGGCAGCGTTATTCAGGACGGGATGATTGTACCCATGAATGGCGGCCCACCAACTGGACATGCCATCCACCAACGTCCGGCCATCCGTCAACTCGATCTCGACGCCCTTGGCGGAGTGAACCGGAAAGCACCGTACACCATTCGGCATGGCGGCGTAGGGATGCCACACATGTTGTTGGTCAAGATCAATAATCTCTTGAGGAGTCAACGATGAGGGTGGCATGGTTTGATGGTTGGTTGGTTTGTTATAAGCTGCTGGGGAGATGAGAAAAGTGGCTTCGGATCTTTTGGATCTTTGGTTTCGTCCAGTCACGAATCAAGAAAGATCCAGTCCCAAACAACCAAGGCCTCACAATTCCGCTTTTGCCAAAACTCCTCGACACAGCTCCTGTTCCTTGTCTTGAGGAGTACTGTCGCAACAGCCAAGCAACAGCAAACTATGGTCCCAGAAGAACTCCAATTACCGTTGCTGATTGTGGTGGTGAGCTCACTCTGAGATATCTTGGTTGATTCTATTGTAGATCTCTCATTTGTTTTCTTTCTTGTTTCTCGCAATCAGGTCGTCATCTTGATTGGTGTGGTACTTTTCATGGTAACCCTTGGTAACAGTAGTAGTAGTGTGGAATCCACACAAAAGTCGCTCAGTGCGCCAAGGACAACCTCCAGAAAATCAGCACGTCTTGCCACGAGAAGAAAAGAAGACTGAATTTTGCCACCACCATTGCCTAATAATAGCTACCTGCTAATACCCTCCATTATTTCCAAGAAAGGAAGATTCAAGATACAAGTATCAGTGTACCATGCTACCGGTATTCCATTTCAGAGAGTACCAAAGACATCAATCTACTACAGTACAACAATCATTTGGTATTCCGACTTGACTGGTGATGCTTGGTTACGTATCCTCTGCACAGACCGGAATGCTACCTTACTACCTGGTATTTAGCTGCGGTAGATGCGAGAACTGAGTTAGTTAATCCTTGTGTAGAAATTGGATCACTACGATGTATCTATCCCAATACTAGTCATGTTCTGTAGAGTTTTTCTTTGCTTTCTCTACGGACCTGTAGTAGGCTTGCTTCGGAAATTGTCAGTTCATTCCATCACAACACCGTCCAGCCAACTACGGTATCTCATCCTTCCATGCATGCATCTATCTACTTCCGCTCCTCAATCATTCATTCATTATTCCTTCATCCATTGCATTATTTACACATCCACCACCCGCGCCAACTTTTGAATGCGATTGAGCAACAAGTCTCCCTTTTGGATCATATCCCGGTATTGGGCATTCTTCAAATCGGGTCGATTGGTGACAATGACACCACCGAATTTGTCAATCTTGGCACTCAATCGCCCGGCCGCAATGAATCGACTGGCATGATAATCGATAAAATCGGTCGAGACACCAAAACTCTTGGCCATGGCGGCCAATGTGACACTCTGGTAGGCATCCAAGAATTGTTTGTAGGCCAAAATGTGCAATTCTCGCATCCAAAAGGCGGCATGAGGAAAGAGATAGCGATCGGCAAACAAGATTCCCTCTAGTTCCACCATGGCATGAAGGTATGCCTTGTAATCGCAGTCGTAGAGAGATTGGGTCAATTGAATGACGACGGGAATTTCACTCGCCACGGAGAGAATTTCGGGTCCATCGATAATCTTTTCCTTGAGGAGCGGACGTGGAATGTGCAGCAAATTGGAGAGGATGGTGTAGACAATGAAATCTTGATAGGAACAAATTTCATTGCAGGAAAAAGTGGCAATGCAATCGACCAAGAGTGATGCCGCGCCCTTCATGTCTCGTGCGAGTAAATTGGACAATGCGCGGTAGACCTTGAGACGATTGCGACGATCCCAATCTCCACCCGATCCTTCCGTGGCCAATTTGTGGGCCTGTCAATCGTCAAAAATCGTATTATGGAAAATCAGGAGAAACAGAAACTTTTGTCAGATCAAGCCGTTTGCCCCATTCCCTATGGCTAGCTAGCTCTCTCAATTGCCATTGTCTCGTCATTCGTCATGATGATGCTACTCACCTTATCAATATACTCGTCACTCTTTTTGGTATCCCCGTAAAAGGATGCAACCCGCGAGGTTTCCATGAGGGCATCAATCTTTTTGCCACTACTAATTTTGGGCAAATCAATGAGTTTGCCATAGGCAGCCAGCGCATCTGTTTCGGACAAGCTCTTTGCGGCAAAACGTGCCACTTCCACCCGGGCATCCATGACTTCCATATCCCCGGCACTTTCCTTGGCTTCCTCCACCTTGGCTTCCAATTCCTCCAGTGTCGTTTTGTTTTTGGTTTCCATTTCGGCCAACTGCGTGTCCGTGAGCAGAGTCAATGCGCCACACACGTCGCTGCCGGCCATTTCGACGACGTGTTTGTACAAGGAGGGATTCTCGAGTTCTTTGGCAATTTTATCAAAGACGGCTTGTTGTTCGTCTTTTGAAAAGGCAAGTGTCTGTTTGGTGGTCAGTCGATGAATCTTTTGACAGAGGGCCATGTCGGGATACTTGGATGCCGAGTCTTCCGATGCCGACGGTTGGCCCATGGTCGCTTTCTTGACCTTTTTCACTACAACAGGTTTGTCTTCGTCCATCTTGTCCGTCATGGTTGCTTAGATTGGATTGATTGATATAGTTTAGTTGAGAGTGTTGAGAGAAAAGGAGAGTGATCGATACGGCGTGTCGGTCAAAGACTGTGGACCATGGCGGATAATCGAAGTTGGAGCATCGAAGCAAAAGGATCCTGAAGGAAGTATGAAATATCATTAGAGTTAGAGTCCACTTAGAAGAAAATCGAATATACATTCGACTTGATTTCGATCAATGACACAGGCAGATTCCACTTTTAGGTCAAGTGGAGCTACTAGACTATAGCAAGATCATGTCAATATGGGTCTATAGAGGTTGTAAACCTCCCCTCCAGACTAGGATCCAGGCAAAGGCAATGGCCCTGGTTATACCAGAGAGGCCTGCTGCATGTATCACAGACAGACCTACTTCATCCAATTTACCCGGGGGAGGGAAGGGAAAAAGGAAAATTGGTGTCGGGCGGCTGCAACTCTGGTTCAGAAAAAGTGAACCTGATTTGTAGCCGCCCGATTAGTAGTCCTTCTAGCTAGTCATCAACACCACATAGGCACACCACCTGTGCACCCGACACTTCGGTCCACCACCTCATCCTTGGATGAGTGGCTCTCCCGGATTCCTGTCCGTCAGTCTCCCTTATGGTCGGCTCCCTGTTATCTCATACTCTCCGTTCTGTAGAATTCTCTTCATTCCCTGTCTGGGAAGGTGGGCGATTCCACTTTTAGGTCAAGTGGAGCTACTAGACTATAGCAAGATCATGTCAATATGGGTCTATAGAGGTTGTAAACCTCCCCTCCAGACTAGGATCCAGGCAAAGGCAATGGCCCTGGTTATACCAGAGAGGCCTGCTGCATGTATCACAGACAGACCTACTTCCATCCAATTTACCCTCCGTCGGAGCCAGACCCTCATGACTGACCATAGATATAATCCCCCGTGTCGGCCGGCCAAGCCGGCCACTTACGCCGCCGACTGCCAGGGAGGTGGCGAGCTTTGCGTGTTGCTGTTGTTGCTGCTGTTGTTGTTGTTGCTGCGTTTTTTATGTCCCGACCGGCTGTAGAGTTACCTGCTTTCATCAAGCGGAAGCCGGTGTCGTCTTGTATACGTCGATTTGATACCGCCAGGCACCTTGGGGTCCAGCTTGATGTCCCAGAACGGCCATCTGCCAGGGCGGGCTCCTTGGATGGTACCCTTCCGTCCGTTGTCTTGTCGTTGCGGGAGATGATGATGCGGTCACCCTTTTCCACTCGCGGTATGGTTTGACGAAGGCACGGTTCTTGCGGGGTGAGCCGGTGTTGGTGCTGCGGATGGTGTTGGAGTGGGTGTTGCCGCCGCAGTTTGGCTTCCAGTCTAACTTGGCCACTC